CAAAACATTTCTAGTTCTTGTCTTGATAATGAGCACTGAGTTTAAAAGACTGAAGTACTAGAATAATAGAAAAAAACAGTTCATCTCTGAACTTCTAGATTTAACATTACCAACCAACGGTATTACAATCTATTTGCAGGTACCAGAGAAATTTCAACAAAGTTTGGCAGGTGGGCTGTACATGCCGTCATGGAAGAGAAGTCGTACACTCATGTCGAAGGACTTTAAGAATCTGTAGTGGAGCATCGTTTGGCAGATCGAGTTAGGATGAAGGGAGGACCAACTATGGCACCAAATGACACCAGACGGGTTGCGAAGACCATTGCTCCAGTACCACATCCCCCAACGTCTCAGTTCGGAAAGCATCAGAAAAGTAGACTGAAGTAAATCTTATCTTGGCCTGTTTCATAACCCGGATTTGTGATATGATATAGTGGGATGTTCCGAAGACGTTTTTGATAAAGAATGAACATTGACTTTAAAAAAACAACAGAATTATGAAGTGTTCATGAACAGTTCTTGCTTCAGTATTCTAGTTACATTAATTTTGTGACTTAGTTTGGCTGATTCCTGAAGGACAAATGAATCTATATTGTGTTGTGGCATCCATCTGTCTGTGTCAGTTTTGAGATCTTTATTCATCTTCAATAACACAAAGATACTCGATTCAAGTCTTTTTGCACATAGCAAGCTGTAATGGAGTCATTTCATGTTTGTTACCACAAATAAATGACCTTCAATTGCTTTTTAGATGATTTAGGTCAAATTGTGTAAATTTCCAAGTAACATTTTGAAAATCTGAAGACCCATGATGTTTTGTCTGTGGCATACTGGGATGCTATCAAATTTGAGCCTATATATATACTGTTTCAGCTTTTCCTTTTTACACTGCATTGCAGATGAGCATTTAGAAACCATATGGTAATTTTGGCTTTTTGTTTGTAAACACATTTGATGTTACTTTTTATTACATGTATTTTATACCAGATAAATCATGTGATATTAGTTCATGTTTTTGTTCTTATTTTGTAAATAATAAATTTAATCATTATCTCAATGACTGTAGACTGGTATATGGAGCAAACCCAGAATGACTGTTCCTGTAGATTTCTAGTTTCAGAATGTAAACAAGGGTGGCCAGAACAGTCAGTATCCCTAAACAAAGTGACTTAATCAGAACATGACCCTTCAAGTTCAGATGAAAATTCGGGTGATGAGAATGCCATGATCACTGACCATAAAACAGAAACTGAACCCATCACTTTAGTTGCTGAACAAAAAGAACGTCTTGTAAAGACACCATCTGGCAGCAGTGAACAGTCATTTAAGAAAAAGAAACAAGACTCACAAAAAGACACTTAAGAGTGGCACTAAAACCAGCACCATGACCACCCTCGACAAGTTTCTAAACCAAGGAACTCTGATGTCTCGTAAATCAAGACAAATGGCCGAAGAGGTGCGTACACCACCAACTCTTGACAGAAATGCTGGAGGCTGGAGGAAAAGCAAAGAAAAAACCAAAGGACGATAAAGTAAATAACAAGGTGTAAATGTAATGTAGATCAATGAAAAATAACTTTTGGGATTTGTATCCTTTTTCCCTTCCAGATCTACAAATACAGTATCCATGAGAAAATACAATCACAGTAAATATATAACAGAGAAAGTAGAAATTAAGTTAGAAATATGTTTATTTACAATGTAGAAAATTTCACTAAAACAATCCAACATGGTAATATATGTATGAATCACGAAATATATTCTATACAGAATGTATGCCATATTAACTACATAAACAGTATACATGCATTTACATTGTACATATATCAACAAAAAACAACACCATGTTAATTGTGTCATACAATGTATAATGTACAAACATAATGAAAACAACACATACAACAAAATGTTACATATGACAATCATAATCTAAATATCAAAATATTAAATGCGTCTTACAAGGTGTATATGTATAAATATATGTATAATAAAAAATACCTGTATATTACAGGATAAAACCCATAAAATTATTAATCAGTTAAAAACAGATATTTTCAAAATATTAAAAAATTCAAAATAAAATACAAATTGCACTGTATAACGCTAAAAACACAAGGTCTCGGAGAAAAACAAAAACATAGCACATTATTTATATCTATAACACATCTACATCAAATTTATAGGCAAACATCCAATTCAAAGAGGCATATTATTTTTTTCCCCAATATACATACATTTTTAGGGACTTCATTTAATTGTGGTCTTAGTCCTATTATAGGACACTTTTTTTCCTTAAATTAAAAAAAAAATTCGGACAATGTTGTATACATCAGTGTACAATAGCTAATACCCTCAAATCAATAAAAACTTAATTAAATTTTCAAATCTTACATGCAGTCACTGAACCCTAAATGACCATAACACACATTTGAATTTAAACAGCCACCTGTTGGCCATCTTGAATTCTCAGTCCATTAAAGGTACATTGCACAACTAGGGACCAAGGGGAAACTGCATATGAAATTTGAGAAAGATCAAAAAAATAGGTACAAACTTTTACTTCAAAATCCAAGATGGCCACCTGTCGGCCATCTTGGGACAAAAAAGGTACAATGCACAACTAGGGACCAAGGGGAACCTGCATATGAAATTTGAGAAAGATCCATCCAGTACTTTTCCAGAAATAGCGGTAACAAGAATTGTTTACGGACGGACGGACGGACGGACGGACGGACGACGGACCACGGACGCAAGGCGATTTGAATAACTAATTGGCTAAAAATCCATAAACATAACTTTTGCAGTATATTCTGTGGTGTGCTTTTGCAACTTACATGTGCAACTGCTTTGATGAAGCTAAGACAGTAAAACAACAGACAAATATTAAAAAAAAAACCCAAAGGATATTCAGGTACATACACATATATCATTGTATGTTTTGTATGAAGCCAGTGTTAATATCCGACAGAATTTGTACCTGTGCATTGTTTGAGGTATACATAAGCAGACTGGAGTTAAGTGGTCTTCATCCTGAAAGTAACATCAAAGTTGACGCCAACACTGTCCATCGGTATGGCAATGTAACCTGGCACCCCTCCAAAGGTTGCTGTTCGCAGCATCTGTAAACAAGATGTTATTACAAATGTAGATGGTGACGAAAAGAAACAATAAAATCACTGAGAATATATATTTGGATCGAACAAAGAGTGTCACAGAGACCTATAAACTAAAGTCCAGTTAAAAAGAATTAAGAACATTCTACATGATTTCTCCACCAAATCATCAATGGAGTTTAAGGGACAGATATTTCCACAAGTTTATAGGACAGACTTACCATAGGATTTATAGTGACAAATAGTCCCATCCTCAGAGTTTAGCGGACAGCTGGTCCCACCAGTTGAGTCAAGGGGGCAAATCACGCCACAAGTGGAGTTTAGGGGAGAGATAAACCTAACATAGAATTTTAGGGGGAAAATTAACCTACCATAGGATTTTAAGGAACAGATCATCGTCCCATATAGGAGTTTTAGGGGACAGATAGACCCTTGAGTGGAGATTTGGGGACAGAATTTCCCACTACACCTCCATGTTACACCTACCTGTTCAGGACATCCACGAACAACTCCTTTAGCCTCTTTGATAAGATCCCAGATTGTACTATCAAACTGAACATCCCTAATGCAGCCACGGAAACCCTGGGGACTCACATATCTGAGAAAAAAAAAACCACATGAATTTCATCAATGATGCATTGATCACACGAAAGGAGTTTTATGCATTGGGCTACTGTACAAACAAGCATAACAATATCACTGTAGTGTTCACTGAAATTTCACTCGTACTTAAGCGAACATTGTATAAGGATATATTTTCATTTTTGTGAGTACTGTTAATCCATGTATTCTTATCTCCATGCACTGTTAAAATAAGAAGACTTATTCAGCCACATTTATCAATGAAATCAAGAATTCATGAAGTTGTAATTTTTTCCAACAACTGTGAAAATTTAACCCCACAAAAATATGTGATTTTCATGTATTTAAATTATGTTAATTGATAAAATTTCATGTAAAAAATCTGAGCCTGAAATTTTAATTCTAGGATTCACACTAGTTCAATATATCAGGTACCGTATAGCTATTCCAAACTGAATTTGTTTCAAAGCCTGTGTCTTTAAAAATGAATGGATGAATTTTTTACAAGATAAAAGGGAATAAGATGAGTTGGAGTGTCAAGAATGCTCTCCTCTCTTGGGAATTTTTGAGACAAACAGGGCATTTTCACTGATATTGTTTTTTTTAAAGGTGAATTCATGACTTTTAAGATAAAGACTCTTTTGGTATCAAGTAGTGGTTGACTAAGGATGAATTCCTAAGAAAATCAGTAAGTGAGAAGTTTCTTAAAAAGTTTCCATAAGGGGCCATAACTCTAGAGTACAAAATGACGGCCAAGGTCAACACTGTATTCTCTTGTAATTTAATGACAAGGGCATCAAAAAAGATTTTACAACTGTCAAATACTATTCCTTACAATCTAATAACCACAAGAAAAAGGCATGTTTTAGCCATCTACAAGTACTTACTTTACAGGCATGACGAGCTCATTGAACCCTCCAATGAAGATATCATCAGTGTATGACAGAGAAGCCAGTGTTCCGGGTGAGCGACCCTCAATTCCATCTGAAACGCATAGAATACATACATATCAACTTATTGGGCATTTGTTTTTACTGATTTTTCGTATTCAATGATACATAGAACATATTGAACTTTAATGCAAGTTAGGGACATTGTCGTCACAACAATGAGAAAGATTTTTTTAATCTGAACAGAAGCACCCTGAAAACCTGTACTGACCTTCTTCATCGACCCTAAGGAATCCAGTTTGTTTATCGCGGGCTGCTTGAATCTTATGCCAGGCTCCATCATTATAGGTTTGTTCTGTCATCAGTTTGACTGGCATTCCTTTTAAATCATACTGAAACAATACCTTGCCATCATTTAATTCGATGAGCTGAAGTCGCGTCCCTTCCCAATAAAGAAGAGAAGTCCATTACTGGCATAAGTCTTGAAATGCAGGATAATGGTAGCCTTCTGTTGGGGACGGAAATTAATCTCCTTGGCACTCACAATGGCACAGCCATTACCGTTAAAACTAAAGCCATTGGACTTTTCTTCCACCAGTACATTCCTGGATGTTTAGAAAATTCTGATGAAATAACAATACTTTTTATGTTTGAGAAATAATTGATTTTATATCAGAAAGAAGATCCTTCATTCTTACTTATAAAAATGTGTTAATTTAGTTGTTTAGTTATTTTTCGGTATTCAATGTACTCATGTCCTTCTGATATGTTTGCAGTTTAAGGTATCTCTATTTTATTCCACTTGCATCTTTTATCTTTCCCAATAATCAGTATATCTAAACATAAATCTATGGAAGCCCTCTTCTTACCAAGGCACAGAGATTATGTCAGACTGTTAATGGTATCAACTTACCTCTCTACAGCACCAACGTAATTATTATCACCATACACAAAGTTCCAGATTCCCATTGGCTGGCTGTCAAAGGCCACACCCTCCATTGCGCCCTCATAGTAGTTTGAACCCATCACTGATCTAGGCAGCTGTTGACATATATCAGCAACATAAGCATACAATTATCAGACATTCAGCTATATTAGAAATTTCAAACCTACTCAATTTGATTGTATATTCTGGTGTTAGATGTACTGGACAAAATAACCACCAGATTTACACATAAGAGGATGTGCTGCATTCAACAGCAAAGTGACTACTGTAATAATCTAGCAAAAATATCATGTCTGGTAATAAGTCAGCCATGTATTGCTCACACCAACAAAAAACTATTCCATTGTCCAGTTAAAAGCCCATCCCCTCCCCCCTCCCACACCCTCACTGTTTCTCAGTCAGAAAAAGTATGTTTTACCTCCCACACACCCACACACTCAGTGTTTCTCAGCCAGAAAAAGTATGGTTTACTTCCAACACACCCACACCTTCACCCACACTCTCACTGTTTCTCAGTCAGAAAAAGTATGTTTTACCTCCCACACACACACCTTCACCACACCCTCACTGTTTCTCAGTCAGAAAAAGTATGTTTTACCTCCCACACACACACCTTCATCACACCCTCACCGTTTCTCAGCCAGAAAAAGTATGTTTTACCTCCCACACACACACCTTCATCACACCCTCACCGTTTCTCAGCCAGAAAAAGTATGTTTTACCTCCCACACACACACCTTCACCACACCCTCACTGTTTCTCAGTCAGAAAAAGTATGTTTTACCTCCCACACACACACCTTCACCACACTCTCACTGTTTCTCAGTCAGAAAAAGTATGTTTTACCTCCCACACACACACCTTCACCACACCCTCACTGTTTCTCAGTCAGAAAAAGTATGTTTTACCTCCCACACACACACCTTCATCACACCCTCACTGTTTCTCAGTCAGAAAAAGTATGTTTTACCTCCCACACAAAAAACTTAACACCACACTCACTGTTTCTCAGTCAGAAAAAGTATGTTTTACCTCCCACACACACACCTTCATCACACACTCACCGTTTCTCAGCCCGAAAAAGTATGTTTTTCCTCCCACTCACCCACACTCTCACTGTTTCTCAGTCAGAAAAACACACACCTTCACCACACTCTCACTGTCCTCCCACACACCCGCACTCTCACTGTTTCTCAGTCAGAAAAAGTATTACCTCCCACACACACACCTTCACCACACTCTCACTGTTTCTCAGCCAGAAAAAGTATGTTTTACCTCCCACACACCCACACTCTCACTGTTTCTCAGTCAGAAAAAGTATTACCTCCCACACACACACCTTCACCACACTCTCACTGTTTCTCAGCCAGAAAAAGTATGTTTTACCTCCCACACACACCCACAGCTAACAGAAAAAGAATGTTTTACCTCCCACACACACACCTTCACCACACTTTCTCACCGTTTCTCAGCTCAGAAAAAGTATGTTTTACCTCCCACACACACACCTTCAGCACACTCACTGTTTCTCAGTCAGAAAAAGTATGATTTACCTCACACACCACACACCTTCCTCACACCCTCACCGTTTCTCAGCCAGAAAAAGTATGTTTTACCTCTCACTGTTTCTCAGTCAGAAAAAGTATGTTTTACACACACACACACCTTCACCACACTCACTCTCACTATGTTTTACTCACACACACACCTTCATCACACCCTCACTGTTTCTCAGCAGAAAAAGTATGTTTCTCAGTTTCTCAGTCAGAAAAAGTATGTTTTACCTCCCACACACACACCTCATCACACACACACCTGTTTTACCTCCCACACACACACCTTCACACACACTGTTTCTCAGTCAGAAAAATGTACCTCCCACACACACACCTTCACCACACCCTCACTGTTTCTCACCTCCCACACACACACCTTCACCACACCCTCACTGTTTCTCAGTCAGAAAAAGTATGTTTTACCTCCCACACACACACCTTCACCACACCCTCACTGTTTCTCAGTCAGAAAAAGTATGTTTTACCTCCCACACACACACCTTCACCACACCCACACCTCTCACTGTTTCTCAGTCAGAAAACACCCTCACTGTATGTTTTACCTCCCACACACACACCTACACCACACACTCACTGTTTCTCAGTCAGAAAAAGTATGTTTTACCTCCCACACACACACCTTCACACACACCTCACTGTTTTTCCTCCCACACACACACACACACCCTCACTGTTTCTCAGAGAAAAAGTATGTTTTACCTCCCACACACACACCTTCACACACACTCTCACTGTCACCACACACACACACACACTCACTGTTTCTCAGTCAGAAAAAGTACACCCACACCTTCACCCACACTCTCACTGTTTTACCTCCCACACACACACACCTTCACCACACCCTCACTGTTTCTCAGTCAGAAAAAGTATGTTTTACCTCCCACACACACACCTTCACCACACCCTCACCGTTTCTCAGTCAGAAAAAGTATGTTTTACCTCCCACACACCCACACTCTCACTGTTTCTCATTCAGAAAAAGTATTACCTCTCACACACACACCTTCACCACACTCTCACTGTTTCTCAGTCAGAAAAAGTATGTTTTACCTCCCACACACACACCTTCACCACACACTCACTGTTTCTCAGTCAGAAAAAGTATGTTTTACCTCCCACACACACACCTTCACCACACCCTCACTGTTTCTCAGTCAGAAAAAGTATGTTTTACCTCCCACACACACACCTTCACCACACCCTCACTGTTTCTCAGTCAGAAAAAGTATGTTTTACCTCCCACACACACACCTTCATCACACCCTCACCGTTTCTCAGCCAGAAAAAGTATGTTTTACCTCCCACACACCCACACTCTCACTGTTTCTCAGTCAGAAAAAGTATTACCTCCCACACACACACCTTCACCACACTCTCACTGTTTCTCAGTCAGAAAAAGTATGTTTTACCTCCCACACACACACCTTCATCACACCCTCACCGTTTCTCAGCCAGAAAAAGTATGTTTTACCTCCCACACACCCACACTCTCACTGTTTCTCAGTCAGAAAAAGTATTACCTCCCACACACACACCTTCACCACACTCTCACTGTTTCTCGGTCAGAAAAAGTATGTTTTACCTCCCACACACACACCTTCACCACACTCTCACTGTTTCTCAGTCAGAAAAAGTATGTTTTACCTCCCACACACACACCTTCATTACACCCTCACTGTTTCTCAGTCAGAAAAAGTATGTTTTACCTCCCACATACACACCTTCATCACACCCTCACCATTTCTCAGTCAGAAAAGGTATGTTTTACCTCCCACACACCCACACTCTCACTGTTTCTCAGTCAGAAAAAGTATTACCTCCCACACACACACCTTCACCACACTCTCACTGTTTCTCAGCCAGAAAAAGTATGTTTTACCTCCCACACACCCGCACTCTCACTGTTTCTCAGTCAGAAAAAGTATTACCTCCCACACACACACCTTCACCACACTCTCACCGTTTCTCAGCCAGAAAAAGTATGTTTTACCTCCCACACACCCACACTCTCACTGTTTCTCAGTCAGAAAAAGTATTACCTCCCACACACACACCTTCACCACACTCTCACTGTTTCTCAGTCAGAAAAAGTATGTTTTACCTCCAATCCCCCACCTACTCCCTCACTGTTTCTCAGTCAGAAAAAGTATGTTTTACCTCCAATCCCCCACCTACTCCCTCAATGTTTCTCAGACACCCTTACTGAGCATTTACCATAGTTTTACTTTGCCCTTACCATAAATGTACTAGGCACACCTCCAAGATAGAACTTTGTTGTGACAGGCTTAAGCTCTAATACAGTAAAGATCCCAGAGGAATTACCACTAGCCTTCACGCTCTCCACCCCAACACCTACATCACGCTTGACTGTCAGTGTACCCGTCTTACCAATCCTGAAACAGCATACAGGAAAATGATTAACATACATCATATATTAAAAGGTCAGGTATCACACAATTCTTTATACAGTAGGCTAGAAAGTCATAATAACGTCAGACTCACCGCTCTACCACAACCTTATACCACTTGTTGTCGTTGACACTCCATGGATGACTGATTTCTGCTGGTCCTGACCCCAGGTCATACTTAAACATTACTCGGCCATCGCGAAGCTCCAAGGCCAAGAAGTCCTGCAGACATGAAATTGAAAGAAACCAAACTCAAAATGAACATGCAAATTAAAAAATTCTACCATACAAAACATGAAATATTATTTTGTTGTTTGGTGTAATGTTTAAAGCCAATCATCATTTACTCACTTCAGCAGATCGTTCAGGGATGAATTCTTCACCGATGTAAGCCAGCAGGGCATCACTTTGTTGGGTACGAATGTAAGTGGTAAAGCGACTGTATGACCCAGCCAAGTCAACATCTGGTGGATTTCTAAGGGCAACTGTTGTGTTTCCTAGGAACTCCATTCCAACTCGGATCTGTAATCGTGAATAAAAAACAAGGTTAGCATAATAAGGTCATGATACCAGTAATTATGATACTTAAATCAGTTTAGTATTACAAGAGGAATTGTCTCTACAAGATTATTGTGCTTATGTCAGGAGTTTAAATCTTCCAGAATATTCGAGGACATGCAAAGGTAGTTATCTCACCCTGTTTGCCTCATCACGGGCTAGTATAATCTTCTCACGGAGATCAGTGATGTTGCCCATAACACTGTCCCGAAGACTACGAACATTCCTAGATTGTGTTCCCACCAGCTCGATCAAGTCCATGATCTGCGGCACTTTCTCTTTCACATCCTGAGCTGTAGTATAGAAACTTAGGTTTAAGTACAAAGTAGGATTCACTGTAAATTTGAATCTGATTTACAAAGACCTTCCTTTTTTCCCGATTTTGTTGAACTCTGACCTCTTAATTTAAATTCTGATATCAATAAGACACTTACTCTGCTGATCAGCGTATTGGGTGTTTTTCTTGGTCTTTGTGGAATCATTGATGAGTTGCTCGACCTTGGCTTTGTTTGACGGCAACTTTCGAATGATGTCATTGACCTTGTTACCGGCATCCTTCGTCATACCACTTGCTTCTTCTGCTTGCATTATGGCATCTTGAGCCCTCTGCCCAACGTTTCCTATCAAGGTATCAAGTCATAAATTATATGACCCATTTCCTAGTTCAAACGTAAGTGTCGTTCATGTTATGATCACAATCATTTCTTTATATTTACAAGTTCCTTATTTTGCAGACTATTCACAGTAAATACTTCTGTCGTTGAAAAATTGGATTTTTTTCCCAAAAGTGACTCAGACTAGGATTACAGGTAAAGGTAAAGAAAATTGAAAATGATTTAAATTTTGAAGTTTTCAAATGAGTCTCCATTTCTTGTGTATCTTTCATTTTGTCATACCTTGCAAACCTGCCATATACAACATGTACCCGAATGATAAAGTTTGATGTGAAGAAACATTCTGTCTACCTACCGGTTTCCAGTGAGGGCAGTTGAAAGTTGACATTGTCGAGTTGGTCTTTTGACTCCTGGTTTGTGTCTTCCACCTTGTCTGTGTTGAAGGTTGCATCCTCGAGCCTTTCCTGTAAGTCTAAACACAAAACAAATCTTCTACTGAGTATCTAGATTTCACACCCATATAACTATCCTCTTGTTCTATCAGAAAGTCCAGTAAACTCTTGCCTTACAAGGATTCCTTCTTGTGTAATTAGAAATCTAACACACCTTTTAAACAACTTCAAATAAACTACTCATGGCCCTCCATCCTGACACCAAACTGTCCCCTGACTCTATTATCACACACAGATTAGCAGCAATTTACCTCTTTGTGTTTTCCTAAATTTCAGCCTATTAACAGTATTGCAAACTTTCCCCGAGTCTATCTGATATTTGACTGCCATGAGTGAATCATCTGTTTCAACCATCATAGTTAAACTGGGACAATATTCACAAAACATTTTTCACAAGAAGTAGTTCTGGAGCTTTTTGACAAGATTTTTAAATCACCTTTTCAAAATGTGATTTAACCAACGTGTGCATCCTGGGATAATGAACCATTAACAGTGTTTTTAGCAGCTAAAGCTGCCAGTTGCAGCTTCTAGAACTTGAAGAAGAGGTATAATAATTATGTGATGAATGAAGTATTGTATATAATTACTTATATAAAGTGGATTACTTTTCATATTTTATATTCCATATAATATATAGAAAATGATGTGAAAATGTCGTTATACACATGACCCTTTTAGCCAAGTCATAGAATAAAGATTTTATCACACAATTGAATATGAAACTTTGATTGGATGGACGAAGGGAGGCAAACCATTTTCTTTCAAACAGACAAGTGTTGTAATATGTGCATAGTGGTTTATAATTCTCACAAATGAAATTTGCAAAATTACAGCAACAATTACAAGAAAAAATTTCAAAACACACTTAATCCCTCTCGCAGAGTTAGATGTGTGTAGTTGTTTTTTTTTTTTTTGTGTGAAGTAATAACAAGGTTCCAGCTTATGAAAACTGTTGATGACTATAGAAGCTCAGCATCTAAAATTGACCTACCCATGTCAGTCTCTTCAAGCTTCTTTTCAGCAGCAGCAAGCACCTCTGCACTTCTAGCTCTTTTGGAGTCAGCCACTTCCTCAACCCCAAATGACTGCAAAAGTCAGGTTGTTGTTAAATGCATCATACAGACTCATTGCTCTAGAAAAGATTCACAGAATAAGGTGGAAAATTAATAAAATATTTTTATATTCACCAACTTCCTCCAATACTGACACTGCAGCTTTTCACTGGATACTACCTTCAATCAAATCAATTTGTAAACCTGCATAAACCAGATTTATAATAAATATGCAATGATGAGATAAAAACCTGCACATTCTGTGCATATTTGGACAAAAATATTGGTATGTGTTCAGTTTAGACAGGTTTTACAGTTATATGTGTAATGGAGGAAACAGCTCTTCAAATTCAAAATCATTTTAAGCATCCACAAATATAATGTCACAGACTTTGGTGAAGCATGCATTGTCATTGCACAGCCCTGTTACATTAGGCGTTACCAAGGTTACCAAAGAGAGATGAAGCCTTCGTGTTGTTATGTAAGTAACTATAGTACATATATATATTGTGTATAAATACGAGTCCTTACGGGCATTAGGAACACCTGAAATAAAAAACCCAAAATTAGTGTAACGATGCCGTGCTCTCATCAATAATTAACTCGCAAAGACTGGATGATGCCACTCTCTCAACCAAAAACAAAATTCAATTTAAAAAGACAGAAATAAGTAAATTCTAAATTTCAGAAGAGTAAAATTTCATTTATATTTGTCATTATACTAGGTGTAACAAAATGAGTAAGTAAACACTGTGTTTAGTCATCGTGTTATACTAGGATATAGGAAAGACAAGTGTCTGTAAAAAAAGGACATTTTTTGATGGTAATGAAATGAGAAGGAAAATGGAAACCAGAAGATACATGCACTCCTATCAAAGTTTCTATCATTACAACCACTACAATTCTTTTTAAACAATACACCAGTTCACATACAACACATAAAGAGTGCCCATAAAATGTATTGCGCTTGAAATATGAAAGGGCATTTTTTGTATTTCTTCAACTGGTGTTATATATAACATACATATATATACATATACAAAGCAACAAAGACCTAATTTCCTCTCAATTCGTATCAATATAATGCTGTACCATCAAAAGCTTGCTGTTTAAAATCTGACTGATACACCATACCACTGGTAGGACAGCTTTACATGTAACAACAACAATAAAACACACAAGCAAGGCATAGCCTGACAATTAGTGGACATAGCTCAGCATTTAGCAGTATCTAACATCAGCACATAATTAATTTGCACATAAAATTACATACAATGAAGTCAAATATCATAGTCACTAGTTCATGTGTTACCTTTCCCAGTGCACTGGACGCTGCCCCTGTTGCCGCTTGTGAGGCGTTTTGAGCATAATTGATTGCCATGACAATACCCTCGTAGGCTGCTCGAAGTGCTAGGGCAGCAGTGTCACGCGTGTCTGTGTACACACTGTCAAAAACAAAAGACAGAATTCACTCTTATCTGATATGGTAGGGCCCACTAAGCAAAAACAAAAATTGGGGTGTTGGTTGGGGAGCTGGTGGTTTGGCAAGTTGGGACTTCTGATATTTCACACGTGTGCTTATGACATGAAAATATATAATCCATCAGTTAATGTTTTCTTTTAGTTCAATACAGAAGTCTAAAACATTACTGTCTTCATTAAAATGAAAAAGAAAAATGAAAATTAGATGACCTTTCTCTTAAGTGTGTTGATAGTTTGAAAATTGTATTTGCCAAAAGAAAAATTAAGGAAATTTGAAATTTGTGAAATCGCTATTGTTTTTTTTTAACTTGTTGATTTTACACTATACAAAATACCTTTCCAGCATTTTAGCCTGATCAACCAAGCTTTCTGCGTGTGCCTGTGCCTGCATTTGTTTCTCATCCAAATCACTCAAGCTGCTGTTCAAGTTGTCGTCGATGACTTTCAACTGATTGATACTGTCAGTTAGAGCAGCTGATTGGTCATTCACCGTCTAAAAATAATACACAAGAAATAAACGTGATATAGCACAATTGTGAACGATTGGTCATTCACCGTCTAAAAATAATACACAAGAAATAAACGTGATATAAAACAAATGTGATACAAACAAATTACCAAGTAACACATGACTAATATCTACTACACAGCAGACTATTCATCATTACCATAACCTCCAGCCATTTAACCCCACAACTGTTTCCCTAACTCATAACCTCAAGCCATTTAACCTCACATATGTTTCCCTAACTCATAACCTCAACCCATTTAACCTCACATATGTTTCCCTAACTCATAACCTCAAGCCATTTAACCTCACAAATGTTTCCCTAACTCATAACCTCAAGCCATTTAACCTCACAAATGTTTCCCTAACTCATAACCTCAAGCCATTTCACCTCACAAATGATTCCCTAACTCATAACCTCAAGCCATTTCACCTCACAAATGATTCCCTAACTCATAACCTCAAGCCATTTAACCTAACTCATAACCTCAAGCCATTTAACCTCGCATGTTTCCCTAACTCATAACCTCAACCCATTTAACCTCGCATATGTTTCCATAACTCATAACCTCCAGCCATTTAACCTCACAAATGATTCCCTAACTCATAACCTCAAGCCATTTCACCTCGCATATGTTTCCATAACTCATAACCTCAAGCCATTTAACCTCACAAATGATTCCCTAACTTATAACCTCAAGCCATTTAACCTCGCATGTTTCCCTAACTCATAACCTCAAGCCATTTAACCTCACATATGTTTCCCTAACTCATAACCTCAAGCCATTTAACCTCACAAATGATTCCCTAACTCATAACCTCAAGCCATTTAACCTCGCATGTTTCCCTAACTCATAACCTCAAGCCATTTAACCTCGCATGTTTCCCTAACTCATAACCTGAAGCCATTTAACCTCACATATGTTTCCCTAACTCATAACCTCAAGCCATTTAATCTAACAAAAGTTTACCTAACTCAGGTCTGAAATGTATATGAACCTCCGTATCAGCCTTGCAGGTCTGTAAGGCCTCCAAAGCTGCATCAATTTCGCTTTGCGACATTCTCTGTATCATCTCTGTATCTCTGCTCGACTCTTCAATTCCCTTCAGACGCAGCTGATTGAAAATGAAAAATCAGTCATCATGACAACTTACATTATAAAACCCAGCGATCCTGACCTCATAGTAGTTCAAATAGATAACAAATTCAGCATAATTCAATTGGACAACAACAAAAACCTTGTAAGACATTTACTTTAATCTTTTGATTTTGGTTTCTTTAAAAGCTTTATGTTCTAAACCCTCCGTTTAAGTACCCGGAATATTCTTTTCTACTTACTCCAATGATATTAAGAGACAGCTGTCTAATCTTTTTAACAAGTGCCATGGTGTCAGAAGAGTTAGTGAGACTGCGCTGACCATTTTCCTGAAGGCTGTAGAGACTGTTGGCGAGGTCGTTAACAGCATTGGCTAGCCTTTCAGCCTCATTCTCACTCTCCTTGTATGCAACCCTGTATCTGTCCAAGTCAACTGGACATAAAAATTGATAAATCTTGAAATCATTAAGTCAAGCAAAGAACCAATCAGAAGTAACGTTCATCCGACCTCATAAACTTCCAACAGTAGGCCAAAACCAAAGCCAGCAGGGTTTGGGATGTAAAGTTTACAAAATCTAATACAACAACAAAACTCCTATCAATACATCATTTGTATACTCCCTTGGTAAACATTACTTTGTTTGACAACCTGAAATGTATCTCAAATTACTCAAAGTAAGACATGTGACATAATCCAGTATACCTCTCCTCCCACTGGTGCACTTAGTTTTCTATCAAAACAAAACTGATCAAGGCACATCTATTCATCAATTTCACAGAATCTATAGACCAAACTTAGGCTCTGTAAATTACTAAACCATTTTTTGTTGTATACTTACACCCTAAAATGTCAATAACAGCAGCTTGCTCTGTCATTTACCCCAGTTATGTTGACTGCCATGATGTCATCCAAAAGATCAATGGACTGCTTGATGTATGTGTCTATGTTGGTCACCTGGATCCCCCTCAGGATGGTGGCAAGGACATCTTCAACCTCCTGTACAGCCACTGTAAGGTCAAGGTCGTACAAAGGTCATTTTCCAAAATACTACGGTATATAAAGTTACTGGCAAGACAGAAGCAATTGTTTATTTTTCATTTATTTATATTTATTTACTTTTAAATTTTAAATTAAATTAAATTTTAAATTACTTTAAAACTTTTGAAGAATTCTATGGTTGACTCATTTCTGTCTAAATGAAATAAACAGCAGAGACTGACTGGAGTAACATAATCAATACTCCAAGTGCATATGTAAATTAGCACAGCCAATGTCAGCTTAAGATATCTCTAACAGAGTCTTGTTCTATTTCTAGAATTGGTGACCTTGACCTTAAGGAACTTGTACAATCTATATTGTTAATCTCTGTATCAATGGGTAAGACCTTGTGAGATTAAGACAGGTGGATTCTGAGATAATATCCAGAGATGACTGTAGAGAGATGACCAACAGAGGTATGATACTGATTACAACAGTCACCTCTCTGACAGTTAGAAGTGTCAAGATTACATTACAAATACACTACATGTTGTGTTTACTTCACCAAAGAGAGAAGATGGCAGGTCAAAGAAGCAATCTTCATTTTAAGACTTCAACAAAAATTATTGTACTTTTAGGTATTTCAAAATTTTAAGTTATTTATTTCTAAGTCTTTAAGACTTTGTCAGCCATTTCCACTTTGATGTCTTTATACATTTGAAACTGAAAAAAAGAAAGAAATATTTTCTTTTTCTTGTGTACATTTGGGCATCAAATACTATCATCATATCATATTTACCATTAGATCCAGCACTGACATCTTCACTGTTCTGTTCAAGGTCAAGGGCTTTGGTGAGGAATTGTTCAGCTTCCTCCTTTACCAGGCCAGCAGACACTATCTGTGTATTG